GGCTGTAGAAAGCACAGGGTGAGGCAATTACTCCTCCCCGTCCCTCCAGGCAAAAGCTGTTTGGACCATAAACGACTGCCTGAGCAAAATGTCTTCTGCCGTATGGAGAATGACTCAGCGCATGAATCCAGATAGGTGCCCTCTGAGCTATCTTCCCCCAGCTAGACCTTCTGGATTCTCCTCACACAGCTCCTGTCTACTTTGCCTTCCCTCTACTGAAGCCCAAGGTGAGTGCCTGTGCACAGGAAACTTTGTGTGTTAGCCCTTTAAGAAGGTGCCTGCATTTCCAGCCCTCTCCCTGGCAGACAGAAACCCAGCTACTTTTTACAGCCACCTTTCTTAGTTCTCGTGCTCTAGTGCTTTCTTATGGGCACCTTTCTTAGTTCTAGTGCTCTGGCTAGGAAGCCCAGCCTGGGGTTTAGACCCCAGAGTCCTCAGTGGGAAGCCCCATGGCTGAGATATCCCTCAGGACCTTCAGCTGCAGCCTGTGGGAACCCAGCCAGCTCTCTCTCGCCTCCACACTTCCTGCACATCTCTAAGCAGTCTCCATTTTCCCTTCTTGGTTATGAGAGTGCTCTTCAGCTCATCTTCAGTTGCAGTTGATTATTCAGGGAGGTTTGTATCTATTTTATTTGTAATTCCTGTTTGATTCTGGAAGAGTGTCAGTGTAGCTTCCATTTAATCCGCTACCATCTTAGAAATCCCCGTATTATTTATAGGTACTTGTCATTTTTATCCTTTTTGCCTCTGTGTCTCTCTATGTACTTCTTCTTAAACAGTCCTTTTAACTTTTCTTGCAGTGCTGGTTTGGTGGTGATAAACTCCTTAAGCTATTTATTTTTGTTTTTGTTTTGTTTATTTTTGTTTAAAATATTACAGATGTCCCTTTTTCTCCCCAGTCACCCATTCCACCCCCCTCCTCAGTTCCTCTCCACACCATTGTTCGTGTCCTTGGGTTATGCATATATGCATGTGAGTTCTTTGGTTAATCTTTTCCCCCTCCACCCACCTACCTTCCTTCGTCCCTCTGAGATTCATCAGTCTGATCCATGCTTCCATGTCATTGAATCTATTCTATTCATCAGTTTATTAAGTTCTTTAGACTCCACATATAAGTGAGCTCATGTGATGTTTGTCTTTCTCTGCCTGGCTTATTGTGCTTAGCATAATATTCTCCAGGTCCATCCTGATGGAGCCATTCTGACAGGTGTGAAGTGATACCTCGTTGTGGTTTTAATTTGCGTCTCTCTGATGATTAGCCACGTTGAGCATTTTCTCATGTGTCTCTTGGCCATCTTATGTCCTCTTCAGAGAAGTGTCTATTCAGGTCCTTTTTGCCCATTTCTTACTTGGGGTGTTTGTCTTCCTCTTGCTGAGTAGTATGACTTCTTTTTACACTTTGGAAATTAGCCCCTTGTCAGATAAATCCTTGGCAAATATGTTTTCCCAGACTGTGGGGTTCCTTTTATTTTGAGGCTGTTTTCTTTTGCTTTGCAGAAGCTTTTTAGTTTGATGTAGTCCCATATGTTAATTTTTTCTTTTGTTTCTCTTGCCTAGGAAATATATCACTGAAAATTCCACTGCTTGGGATGTCTATGACTTTACTGCCTGTGTTTTCTTCCAAGATTTTATGGTTTTGCAACTTACATTTAAATCTTTTATCCATTTTGAATTTTTTTTTGTATATGGTGAAAGTTGGTGGTCGAGTTTCATTTTCATGCATGTAGCTGTCCAATTTTCCCAGCACGAGCTTTTTTTTTTTTTTTAGTTAAAGGTGATAAACTCCTTTAGCTTTTTGTTTCACCTTCAATTTTGAATGATAGCCTTGCTGGATAGAGTAGTCTTGGTTTCACATCCTTGTTTTGCATTTGCTTGAGTAGTTCATGCATTCCCTTGTAGACTAAAGAGTTTCTGTTGAGAAATTAGTTGACAACCTTATGGGAGCTCATTTGTAGGTAACAAATTGCTTTTTCTTGCTGCCTTTAAGATTCTTTTTTTAATATGATGTTTCATGGCATGGGCCACTTTAGGTTCTTCTTGCTTGGGACTCTGTGTTTCCTGGGTTTTTGAGACTTTGTCTTTCACTGTGTTAGTGATGTTTTCTGCCAATATATTTCTTTAAGTAGGTTCTCTATCCCTTGCTCACTTTCTTCTACTTCTCGTACCTCTATTCTGTGGATGCTGTTTTGTTTCATGTTGTTCCAAAGCTATCTTAACTGTCCTCCTGTGTTTTTTTTATTGTAGCTGTTTTGGGGTTTTGTTGTTGTCTTTGTTTATTTTATTGTTGATAGTATTGCAGATGTCTCCCATTTGTCATTTTCCCCCCCTCTACCCAACCCCAACCCCAGGCTTTTCCCATGCTATTGTCTATGTCCATGGGTTATGCATATATGGTTTTTGGTTAATCTCTCCTCCTGTTTTTTTATTGCTTTTTTTCTTTTTGGTTCCTTGTTTGAGTGATTTTTTCTATCCTGTCATCTAATTCGCTGATCTGATCCTCAGCTTTCTCTAATCTGCTGTTTATTCCTTCCAGTGTATTCTTTATTTCTGCTATGCCATTCTTCATTTCTGACTGGTTGTTTTTCAGGGTTTCTATGTCTTTTCGTGCTGTTGAGCATCTTTATAATCATTACTCTGAACTTTGTATATGATAAATTGCTTATTTCCATTTCATTTAGCTCTTCTTCTGGTGGATTCTCTTGTTCTTTTATATGGGGCCTGTTTCTCTGTCTCTCAGTTCTGGTGGGCTGGCCTTTTCTAGCGGGTGTCTTGTGGGACCCAGTGGTGTAGTCTCTTTGATCTGTTGAGCTGGGTGCTTTAGTAATGTCCCTGTGTGGGTTATCTGAGCCCTCCTATTGTAATTGGCATCTGATTGCTGTTATCCCTCTCTTGGTTGGACTTGGTCCTCATGCTTGCAAGGCCCAACTCCAGTCACATCTTGGCAACTGTTATACAGGACAAGACAAAACAGGACCAAACTGAAAACCACACATACACAAAACAAAAATTAATAACAAGAACCGCCCGTCTGGGCGTGGCTCAATGGTTGAGCATCAACCTAGGATCCAGGCGATCGGGGTTTGATTCCCGGTCTGGGCACATGCCCAGGTTGCAGGCTTGACCCCCAGTCATGGGGCATGCAGGAGACAGCCAATCAATGACTCTCATCATTGATGTGTCTCTCTCTCTCTCTCTCTCTCTCTCTCCCTCCCTCTCCCTCTCGTTCTCCTTCTCCTTTCCTCTCTCTGAAATCAATGAAGATGTATTTTTTAAAATTAAAATAATAAAAAAAAGAACCAAAGCAACCCCAGCCCCATCAATAAAGAATAAGAAAAGAGGAAGAAAGGGCAATAAAAAGGAATACTGTGATACAAGAGATCAAAAGAATTAAAGCAGAAAGAAGAAAATGAAAGGAGAAGGTGAAAGAATAGAAGGTAGAGAAAAGGAAGAAAAGAGAAGAGAAATGTAAATATGAAATAATAATTTTAAAAGGTAATGAATAAAATAATACATGGAATACGAAGAGGAAAAACGAAAAATAAAATAAAAATGTTTTAAAAGAGAAGAAAAAATAGATAAAGAAAAGGCGAGAAGGGATATGAGAGAAAAAATAAGCAAAAACTAAGTGAAATCTAAAGAAAGAGATTATATACAAAGTAGTATTAGAGAAAGAAAATAAAGTGGAGTTTGGCTCCACAGATTTTGGTGCTTACTGTCTTCATGTTCAGCCTTTGGATCTGCTATTTGTGGAAGCTCCCTGGATGTTGCTCAGATGTTGTCCCAGGAGGGGGCAAGGCTGCACTGCCACAGTGTCTCTCTGGCTTCCCAGCTGTGCACTGCCAGAGTTCACCCTCTCCCTCTCCTCCTCTTTTCTCTGAATTCCTTGCTCACAGTATTTCAGATTAGCTTCTCTTCATCTGGTTTTTCTTGCCAACTTCCCTGCAATTCAGCCACAAATCTGTCTGGTGTTGGGAGCAAGGGGTAGGGGGTTCTACCTACTCTGCAGCTATGATGGATCCTCTCCATCTTCTTTTAAATATGGATTGGCAGGTGTCTCATCACTGTTGCCTTTGGGAATTATATTGGCAGCTTTGTCAAGAGGTTTTTATTCACACATTTATTTTTTAGCACTTAATATTCTTTATAGTACTATGTAAATTTTTATTATCGGTATAGAATTTATTGTGTCAAAACTTAAACTGTAAAGAACTTCTTTAAATGCCCATAATTTTTTTAGTATGATTCACAGAGACGGGTTCAGGTGACTGAACAAAATCATAATTGGAAATAGGAAATCTTAATTTTTTTACCATGTACATCTTTAGCAATGTATATTTGTATTTGTATACCATCTGTCAGTTTAGAATATGCTCTTCCTTTGCTACTTTGGCATTTATAAGCACCTTTGATGTTTATACCGTACTTAAATGACTGATCTTATTTCAATTTTTTTAATTCTCATTTTGAATATGTGGCAAAAATCTAAAAATTACAGATTTTATGCTTAGAGAAGAGCATCAATAGGGAAAAACAATTTGCTCTTTGTTTTTGAAATAGGGAATTGAGTCTTTTTCCAAGGAGTATGTACTTACAGATTTTCCTAATCCTTAAAATTTTTCAGGTATTTTAATGTTATTTTTGTTTTAATTTTATAGTTCTCTCTCAAATTCCTTTAACATTATTTAAAATTAAATTCATCTACCATATAGAATCTCTTTGGACCACGGTGGATGTATGTTTTTCTTATTTGCATAATAATTGGGTTTTATAATGTTAATTTTGTGGCTGGTGGAAGAGGATGAGTATCGTGCCATTTGACTTATCTGTTGTTTACTTAATGTAGTCATTGAAGATATTTTTTTGTGAAATGTTTATAGAAACTTAGTTTTCAAAGTATAACCAAGTAGGGCTCATCTAGATAGGATTATTTTATTAACTTTTGTAATTAAAACAATGACCTGAAATAGGATCCTATGCATGAATGTTTTTTTAATCCGTAGGAAGAAAATGAGAAAAGAATGCAACATAAAGAATATTCAGATAATGAACCCACATCTTCAGATTTGTAAGTAACTTTCAGTGTTCAGTCAGTATTTCTGTGCAAAAGGCATGGATTTAATTGGGTTTTTTTGTTTGTTTGTTTGTTTGTTTGTTTGTTTGTGTTTTTTTTTTAAGTTCTGGAAAGAGAAGGAAAGGACCTTTTAAAACCATAAAGTTTGGGACCAACATTGACCTTTCTGATGACAAAAAGTAAGTCCTTCAGTTCTGTTCACATGAAGTAAAAATAGGATTGCAGGATTGGAAATTGCTTAGTTACTGTTTTTTGTTTCATTCTGTTTTTTCTAGTTTTTTTTATGTTGATATTAGCTTAAAACAACAGCATTTTGAAATATTTCTTTCTTAGATTTTTAATTAGATTTTTTTTTACTTGAAGAATGCCAGAACATTAATTTGATAAATTTAAAAATAAAAATGATGTGTTTCATTTGCATGAGTATTATAATTTTTAGGTTTTTATATTATTATCACTATGTTTTAGATTATGTTTTTGTTGTTTTTTAATTAAACAGTTCAATCCTTTTGACTTTAAAAGTATAATACTTAGAGATTAAATGTTTTCTGATCAGATCACAAAATTTTTGAGACACTTAATTCTCATAAATATTTGCAGCAAAGTTAAACTTTTATTCTGTTGTTTTATTTCAGGTGGAAGTTGCAGCTACATGAGCTGACTAAGCTTCCTGCTTTTGTGCGGGTGGTATCAGCAGGAAATCTTCTAAGCCACCTTGGTCATTCCATTCTGGGCATGAATACAGTTCAGCTATACATGAAAGTTCCAGGGAGTCGAACACCAGGTTATTTTTATGGACTAATATATCTTTTTAATTCAAAAGAATTAAACTTTAATTCAAAAGAATGTGTTCATCAAATATGATACATTTACACAATCAGTATCGTGCCATTTGTAATTGTTTAATTCAAAGGATTTTTTAATTCTTTCTCATAGGTAAAAATATTTGAAGTTATTCTTATAATTGATCTGAGAGTATTAAATAATTTGTTGTCCCCATGTGTCTTTTATCTTTTTTATATGTAATCACCAAAAGAGAAAAATATAACTAGGAAGGAAGCAATAAGTCACTCAGTGAGTGAACTTTATTAAGGCAGTATATAAAGGCTTTGTGTTGATCCCGTTGACTGCAAGCTGGCAGTTCTCCAATTTTTTTCACTGCTGTTACATTAAGAACTGTATCATATTATATGAACTTAATATGTTTACTATATAAATAATAATTTTTATTGAAAATACTTAAAATATGTACTGATATAGTCTCACTTCTCCTTTTGCTACATTTTAAAAAATAGAATTGAGAAACTTCCTAATGCAGTGGTCGGCAAACTTTTCTTTAAGAGGTTAGATAGTATTTTAGGCTTTATAAGCCAGGAGATTAAGTTGAAGATACTATGTAGGCAACAATATAAAAGTAAAAAAAATTCTCATGCCTTTTTTTGATAAAAATTAAAATACATAATAATTGATACAATTTTTTTTCTCTTAAAGGGGTAATAAAATTTCACCTTATTGGGCTTGAAATCAGTGTTCTGAATTATCAAAATCAGTTGCAAATGTTCATCTGTTAAAGCTCTTCTACAATGAGATAATATGTATTTTATCTTTAAAAATGTCTTTTCACACACATAGATATTACCAAATACTGCTCTCAATGTATGGGCATATTTTATTGAACATATTAATTGGTTGAAAAGCATATAAAGAGTTCTGTTAACCTTGACTGGCGTGGTTAGAGTGTTGGCCTGCAGCAGTACCTGTCAGGGGTAGTACCTGGGTGCAGATTTGATCTCCAGTCTCAGCTGAGGTGCATTTGGAAGGCAACTAGTCGATGTGTCTCTCTCACATCAGTGTTTCTCTCTCCTTTTTCCCTCCCTTTCACTCTCTAAAAATTGAAAGGAAAAAATATAGTCAGGTGAGGATTAACAGAAAACAACAAGAATAGTTCTGTTAGTTTTTTTTTACTTGACGTTTCCTTTCACATTTCATTACATTGCAGATTAATCCTTTCCAATTGAAGGTCAATTGGAAGCTTCTCAGTTGCACAAATGGCTTTTGCAAAATGGAAATATTTTGTGCCCTTGCACTAAGATTTGAAAAACTATACTAGAGCTATAGTTTGAGCTTGAAAAATATATGCTGCAAATGATTGAAGGTATGGACATCTAGGTTTTTATTTAATTTTTAATTCTACACAGAGTGCATTAAACAGATTAATAGTACCTGCAGTGCAAAAAATATTGTCTTCCATATTCATTGACTATGTAGTGTAAGTTCTGTTTTGCAATATAAGATGGGGTTTTTTTGGTTGGTTTTTAAAGATCATTATGAAGATTGCATCAAAATATTCATGACCAATGACAATGGCTGACGGTTCTCATTCATAAAAAATTTCAGTCTCAACCCTGAGCTCTGTAAAACTTACAGTACTTCTCCTTGCCAAGGCATATGTGATCTGCTTTCTGACAAGAATCCGTGAAACTGATGTGCATAAAGTATGTGCCAGTGAATAATAACATAATTAACTGTAGACATTAAGCACTTTACATTTTCATAAACTTTGTTAATTTATCCAAGTAAGGCTTTTTCTCACTCCATACATATTTTTCCCACCATAAATTGTAATATATGTTGGCAGGTGCCACTTCAGTCATACTTAGTGTTTTTCAGCTTCTTAGAAAATATTCTCACATGTAGTGGTCCTATGGAGACCACTTATAGAGGTTAATTCTTGAGTCACTTCACATTAGGCATTGACTTCTCAAATAACCAGTTACATAGTATTAATAATCTGTTGACTTGTCAAGGTGTAAGAGAAAGTGCTTGAAGCTACTTATTTTTGAATTGACTATTGATGTTGCTTCCAACATCTTCATGAGTAATCTGTTCTCAACAAAAGGCTAACCGTGGAACCATTTTATTTTCTCTAGAAGTACCCATTGCAACCAAACATGATTTAATTAACTCACTATCTGAAACTGCTATTATTGCCTAGCCAGAGATTTCATTTGGTTATCCTTCAATTTCGTTTTAATTTTTGTGAAACAGTTTTGCTTTGATGAAGTACTACATTTTTACATTTTAAAATTTTCTATGCATTGTTTTTCTTTAAGATACATATATCCTCAATGGAGGATATTCTTTCCTTTGAGACTGGAAAACAGTGGATAGAGAGACTGGAAGAGAGGAAGGGAAGGGTGGGGAGAGAGGAGACAGACAAACATCAATGTGAGAGAGACACATCAATTGGTTGCCTCCTGCACACGCTCTGACGGGGCCATGGATCTAACCCACGACCCTCAGCTGCACCTGCCAGAGCTGAGATATGCATATTTTAGTGAGCGCTTCACTGGTATTTTAGTTATGCAGTGTAATCTTTTAGCATAACAAGAACATCACTGAGTAAGTACAGTGCTTTTCTATGAAATTGAGGAAAACATTCACACTTCCACATGTCTTAAAAGTGCTAAATTTCCTTTTTTGTTTTTTTTGTAAATCCTCACTGAGGGCATGCTTATTGATTTTAGAGAGAGGAGGGGCAGGGAGAGAGAGAGAGCAAAACATCCATGCAGGAGAAACATCTGTTAGTTGCATCTTGTATGCGCCTCAGCAGAATCAAACCTACAACCCAGGTACATGCCCTGACCAGGTGTCAAGCCCACAGCCTTTTGTTATATACAGGAAAACTCCAGCCAACTATGCCATAGGCCAGGGCAGAAGTGCTATAAGTCTTTCTCGTTTTGATTTGATGGCTATACATGGTAATAAATAAAATTTTAAAAAAGATATGTTGAACTATGGGTGATATCTATGGAAGCTGAAATGCTTTGGGGCTATAACTATTTAATGCATTTATAGTTTGCCTAGTCATACAAGAGATGAAGATTGCATAAGGTCTCTGTCACACTGCTTAATTCTAATGTGTTAGCATAAAGCACCCATAGACAGAACATATATCGATAGCATACCTGTGTCCCATGAAAGTCTTATCTATAAAACAGGTATTTGCCCCATGGGTCATATTTGCCATACCTGAAAGTTTCATTCAACACAAATATTTTGACTA